GTGATTTCGGTTTTTCCTTTCCTTTCTACAGTTTGTGGGTTTGTTATAGTACGCTTAGCTCTCAACTGATTGAATGTTCGGAAGCAAAAACTTGTTCGATCATCTAAAGGCTCGTTTGTGAATGGAGTAAAAGTCTGCGTGGGTTTGTTAAAAGAGCGATTGCATGTAAGCTTAGATCTAAACCGACTGAATGTTCATAAGCAAAAGCTCGTTCGATCATCCGAGGCTCGTTTGTGAACGGAGCGAATAAGTGCCTCTAATATAAATTATTAAATATTTTTACATCTCTTGAAAGTTTGTTTACTGAAAATATTCAAACAGTAACAAACTTGAATTTTGTCGAAACGTTAATGGAATGAAAGCCGGGACACAAATTCTCGCTCAAATAATGAATGGTCGAGTATATGAGTATTAAACTATTCGGACATAATCAAACACGAACTCAAATGCTCAAGCTCGGCTCATTTAGTTTAATTACAGTAATCACGTTTTGGAAGTTGTGTTCTTTTAGAATTTTTATTAAAATATCAGTTTTTTTTTTAATGAGAATTAAAATTTTTTAGAGCAGGAACGGGTATCAAATGAAAATATAACGCTGATAAAGAGATACAAAATTAAAACACCATTTTTTGTAATTAAAGACATAGATAGATATACAAACACATTTTTTAATGACAAATTTTTGGTAACTTGGATTGACCTTTTCTTTTCAAAGCCAAAAATTGGGACTGAGTGATTACAAAAATAGTAGTGCCTCGCCTGTCATTTTGTCCCACATCGTTTGGGGAATTAAAATGAAAGCAGAGAGAGGCTATAAAATGATAGGGCCACTCATCAAGTGAAAATCACGCAGCCGCGCGGTAAGCACAGAGCGAACTATTCTTTCGCCTTTTACTAAAGAATACCGTGTGCTTGCCGCATTTAAGCGGCATACGCCCATTTTTGGAGGGGGAAATCCTTTGCGGGATTAACCCCAACAATTAAAGTTCAATATTTTTATCTTGTTTATTATCAATTTACATTAAAATTCAAAACTATAAATAATAATAAAACACAAATCTGAAAATCATTTAAACCAATATAGAGTAAATCCATGCGGAAAATAAATTATTTATGTGCTCAGCTTAAAAAACTTATAAAATTAAACCTGAATGCTGAAGACTTCTTGTGGAAAATTAATTATTTCATGTGCTGCTTATAAAAATAAATTAAGAATAGACATGTACGTTTTAGTATTAGATTTTAAGATTTAAGAAATTCTGGTATATTTAATTTGGACTTTTAAAAGTCTTGGTATTCATTTTGAACTAGTACCACATTCGTATTACACGGGTGCTTGTTAAAAAATTATTCTTAAAGTAATACGGGTGCTTGTTAAAAAATTATTCTTAAATTTTAAATTAATGAGAAAATTGTATTAAATTTAGTTTATTTTTTTACCAAAAAAAAATATATTACTATATATTTTAGAATGATATGTGTTACTTATGACTTACATGTGTTATATTATATTAGTTTTTATAATTTATATCATATAATTACTTGAAATATAAATATATTAGTTGATAAATAATTTTATTTTTCTAATTAATATTAAAAATAATTTTATTATTGTTATAAAGACAATATAAATTATTTTTTTTATACATACAATATGGATGTTAAATCGAAGCTCATCAAAAGAAGATTAATTTGATATATTACATATGTAAAACTGATAAAAAATACAAAAGTTATTAACTTTTAAGATATATATGCAATTCAATAGTTATAATAAGGAATGATAATTAAAATACAATTAATACATGTAACATGACCATAAATAATCAACATATTTATGGTAATCCGAACCTAATTATTTTTGGTTTGGAATTAAATTAAAATTTACTCAAGCCTAATAACGAAGCATGTAATTTTGCCACATGATTTCGAAGCACCAAAAGCAGCCACGTAGGCTCAGCGCATTCTGTATTAATATATAGGGGGGATAGAGGGGATTTTAAAAAGTATTCCAAAATGCTTGAGGTATTTAACTATTTGAAATTATGATTTGTTAAGACATTTTAAGATATGTTGAGATTTATAAAGAAAAAATCTCACTCAAAATACTTAAGATTTCACGTGAATTCTCCAAAATATGAAAATCTTAAAAAGTCAAATCTAAAAAAGTCTCAAAATGTTACTCGAAATTCCAAACGAATACACCCCCTTTAAGTATGAAGGTAGGATTTGGAGTGAGATTTCGTATCATATTTTTTCTTTTGAAATTTAAGCAAATCATAAAAAGTCTTAAGAAATCATAGTCTCAAATAAGTTATATAACTTCGGATTTTGTAAGATTTTAAAATCTCAAATACTCCCCTTAATTGCAAGTATGTTATTCATTTGGAAAAGAAAAACGTATCGACTTTAAGAGGAAATTTTTGTAATATTCTAATACACTTGGACTGTATCTCTATCTATTACAAAATAGGTTGAGAGCTTGTACATGCTGAAAATTGAGATAATTGGTCCTTATAGTCAAACTAATTACACAAGCAATAGTTTGTAAATCAAATAATAGCGTTGCGGGTTTTACCACAAATTGGTCATCATAGAAATATGTTGGACCAATTATCTGTGATCTTAAAAACTAAAAGTGTTTTAACAGTCATGCGTGGATCAATTTTTTGCCATATAATTCATTTATTTTATCAATGTTTTTAGGTGCTTTTGTGAGCATAAGTTCTTTTTCAATAGTCTTTTGATGCAATTTTAGATATATTTGTTTAAAATTTGAAAAATATCATCTTCATACATAAATACTTTGATATAGTGGGTCGGTTGTACATCGCAAAACCAAAAGATTCCTATACTTCATAATAATCTAGAGGAGGACCTATGTTGTATATTGAATATATAACTTATTTTATTTAACCCAATAGTATATAACATTATATACTCAGTTAGTACGACAATTTCAAACTTTAGTGTGTTTTAATTTCAGAATTTAATTTCGGAGTTTAAAGGCTTGCGCTCAAGTTGTTAGTAGCCGGCGGGAGGTTGATGGGCGTGTTTGTAGGTGGATGGCGAGGGACTTCGGCATCTCTGTTGGGGTGCAGGAGCAGCAGGACTGGAAGCTTCTCCCTCAGGCTCTCTGGTGTTGGGAACTGGATGGGCCTGGCTTCGGGTGCTGGCTGGTTGTCCTCTCGGTCGAAGGTGGATTAGTTCAGGTTAGTCTCGGGATCCTGGTTTAGCTTCTGTATAGGCGTTCGACAGCAGTTTCGGAAGTTGAGCCTGGGACTTCGGATCTTACTTGCATTGATTGTTTCGCTACTGGTTTTGATCCGTATTATTTGCTGGGGAAGGCGTTTTAGCATATTATTTGTTTGTTTTGTGTTTTGTTTGTGTTGTTTGTGTTGTGTTGTTTTAGGACTTGTGTTTTTTGTTTGGGCTGTTGGCCCATGTGAACCCGAGTGTCAACTTATTACCCTGTTGGGGCCAGACACTTGGGTATTACCCTGTTGGGGTCTTTTAGTTTCGTAGTTTTTATGTTTTGTTTTCGTGTCACTGAGTATTACCCCGTTGGGGTCGGCTCTAGGCAGTCTTCAGACTGTCCTCCCATTTTATTCAGCTGTTGGCTGTTTGTATTCAGCTAGTGGCTGTACTTTTGTAAATTTGTGTGGTTTATAAATAAATCTATCGTTTCGAAAAAAAAAAAATCAGAATTTAATAAATCATGGTCTGCTCATTTTTATTTAAATTTTCATTTTTCTTTCATAATTTTAAATATTTTTTAAAAATTCGCATTACTGTTTTTGTTTAAAATAACATGTAACCCATAAGATTCCTATAATGTACATTTTCTAATTCATATCATATAACATGCTCAAAATAACATGTAACCCATAAGATTCCTATACTACACATTCATATCATATAACATGATATCATACACAACATTATTTTACACGATAAATAAAAAATTATCAATTTTTATTTATAATTGATAGATAATTTAATATTTTTTTTTTATAAAAAGTATATATTTATATTTAATTCTTATTCAATATGAATATGAAATCACAACTAATTAAAATGTAAGTAACTTTCTATATCCTAAACCAATTCGATTGTGCAGACATTATT